GATTGATCTGACTGATCCGACTAATTTGATTGTTTTGATCGATTGATTGCATGATAGGTTGAGTTTTAGTTACTGGTTAGATAACTAGATTAATTTAGCTAGATAGATAGATCGGTTGACTGTCAGATAGAAAGAGAGAGAGAGATATATATATATATATATTATGTGGATGGATGGATGGATGGATGGATCGATAGATCATTGGCTTAATCGATCGTAGATGGCTGGCTGGTGGCTGGCTAGTTAGGGAGGCGGGTAGGTGCAGAAGGCAGATTCAAGCCTGTTCGGTGCAAGCCGGGCCCGTGTAGACGTCGAAACCCGCATATGTTCCTCAAGCCGAAGCTGCGGCAGGTCACACCTGATCAGCCCCGTGAGCACATTGAGAACCCGTACTTCGTGACTTGCCTGAAGCCTTTGAAGGACTTTTCAAGACTTGAGATCCAGCTGCTCAGGAAGTTGATTAGCTGATTGTGCGATTTCGGATTCGTACTTTTGGGTACGAGGCTTCAGACATTCACGCCACGACCTCCCTGGGCCCTGCATAGAACGAGCAAACAGGTTCCAGCTATCTAGAGGAAGTGGGAAGTGCGCAGAACATGAGTCATGCTGTGCATCGCAGCATGTTGGCCCGCAGTGGATAGACAAAACCTTTGCCTTCAGTGCTTGAACACACACACACAGATCATCACAGATCCATGGGCAGGCAGGCTTCGTTCACATGATGCCTCTGAAAATTTCCACGCACGCACGGCTGCACACCCTTATTTGTAAACCATGAAGGCTGCACTTGCTTAGGCGGCCCTTTTTGCTCATGGCCGTGTGCGAGTGGGTCTAGAACAGCCATGGCAGTGGTGCCGAAGGGGCTCCGCACTTCCAATGGGGATGGTGCTTCCATGCGAATAAGCCGAGAAGACGCAATGGCAAAGGTGCCGCTCATGGAGTCGGATGTAGAGACGGCCGCCGAAGCTTCAGTGGAAACCAGCCACGAGCCAGTTGGGCGAAGCGTAGCGCCTTTGCCGGGCCAATGGCATCATCATTGTACCGACCCTTGCTGGATTCTTCTACTGATCGCAGCAGTTGGCGTACTCTATTTCCCGATTCAAGAGGCGATGCAGACAGGCGACATGTCCAAGTACATGCGAGGCTTTGACTACATGGGTAGGATGTGTGGTCGAGACGAGTGCGCTCCCGGTCAGATCTGTGGACGCTTCATCTACTTCTGCTCGAAGGTGGAGGAGAATGGCATCGACACTCTTCATCCGATCTGTGTTGATAGCTGCCCCACGAACAATCTTACATCGCACGTTTGCTTTGATTCAGACACTCAGAGCACCCTCCTCGTGCCTGATTGGCCTACGGAGGAGTTCAACATGAAATGCCTGCAGCGGTCCCATCGCTTGAGGGCGGAGGAGGAGCACGAACGCAAGAGGCTGGCCGGGGATGTGACCCGTTTCAAGGGAGGGGCTGGTCACACTCCCGGAATATTGCTCGACTGCATCGCATCTATTGCGAGGGCCCGGTTGCACCTTGTAGTAGTCATTTTTGTTTCGACTGCCGCCGGTTTCATGTACATGCTCTTCCTTTGGAGTTGCTTGAAATTTCTCATTTATGGCTCATTAGTGCTGGTGATACTGATCCCCTCCTCGTTCGGGCTTTGGCACCTCTTCATAGTGTACAGAGGCGGAGGGGTCACCGCAGCTCTGAGTGGAAATTTACAAATTCAGCAGTCTTTGTGGATGGGCTTAGCAGGCGTGTCCATTGGCCTATTCCTTTGGTGCACCCTGAAGCAGATATTCAATAGGATCCAGACTGCGGAAGGCTGCATCATGGCTACTACCGAATGTCTCTTTGAGCTTCCCTTCGTGCTCCTGGAACCTGCTTTCAGCCTCTTGGCGAAGGTAATGATCGCACTCCCCCTCTTCATTCTCATGCTTGAGTATGCCTCAACTGGGGAGATGCAGCTCATCGCAACCGAGCGTGGGATACACCGACACTTACAACTTCGCAAGGAGCAGTGGGGCATCATCTTTTACTTTGCCTTCTTGATCGCATGGACTCTTGAGCTGGTTCACAATATGACGCAGTACATCTTGGCCTTTATAGCACAGAGGTGGTACTTCACGCCATACGTGGGTGAGCAGAAAGTGGATGTGCCGGGGATTTGTGTGATTTTTGAATCCACCTGCAACCTTTTCCGTTACCATTTCGGATCCGTCGTGTTCGGCTCGCTTCTGAAGACCCTCTTCCGAATTCCAAAAATGTTCGCCTACAGCATCTTTTTGCTGGGATGCTGCAAGTACTCGAAGCACAAGGAGGTCAAGGAATCCTCTGGGACCAAGTTCACCGCATCTCTCATGTTTGCATTGCTCCGCAAAGAAGGCTACATGGACATGGCAATCACTTCTTCAGACTACTGCGAGGCCACAGAGCATGCGACATTCACTTTGGATGATTCCTCCACGGAGTTGGTGTTGACTTGGACGCAGATCATCTTCGAGCTCGGCGGCTGGGTTCTGATGACAGGAGTCGGGGCGCTCTACATGGCAGTGACTGTGCATAGCAACCCGCGTTTTACAGATGCCACCGATGACGAAATGTTCCTGAAGGAGCCAGATGCTGTCGTGGCTTTGGCTGCTGTGCTCGGCTTGGCAGTTGGCGTCAGCTTTATGAATGTTTTTGATGTTATCGGGGACACGATCCTGTACTGCCTGGCTTTGGAGGAGCAACGCTTCACGCAGCTGAGAAATGCCAGCAACCCACACCACAAGGACGACGCTACCCTCATCGAGAGGTGGGAAGGTCTGACAAACAAGGTCTTGTCTCTAGTCTTTTGTATTGAAGCGGGGGCCTTCACTCCCAGGTGTACCTGTCGAGACAGCAGCTCTGGAGGCTTCCTGGGCTGGATGATGGGCTACGACGAGTATGAGCAGGACCTGAAAACCCTTGTGAATTTGCGTGTAGTAGCAGTAGTAGTAGTAGTAGTAGTAGAAGAAGTAGTAGTAGTAGAAGAAGTAGTAGTAGTAGAAGAAGTAGTAGTAGTAGTAGTAGTAGTAGTGGTAGTAGTAATCGTTGTGGTAGCAGTAGCAGTAGCAGTAGCAGTAGTAGTAGTAGTAGTAGTAGTAGGAGGAGGAGGAGGAGGAGGACGAATAAGTAGCAGTAGCAGTAGCAGCGCAGCAGCCGCAGTACAAGCAGTAGTAGTGGTAGTGGTGGCAGTAGTTGTAGCAGTAGTAGTAGCAGTAGTAGGAATCGTTGTGGTAGTAGTAGTAGCAGTAGCAGTAGCAGCAGCAGCAGTAGTAGTAGCAGTAGTAGGAATCGTTGTGGTAGTAGTAGTAGCAGTAACAGTAGCAGCAGCAGCAGCAGCAGCAGTAGCAGTAGCGGTAGTAGTAGTAGTCGTCGTCGTAGTAGTAGTAGTAGTCGTCGTCGTAGTAGTAGTAGTAGTAGTAGGAGGAGGAGTAGTAAGTAGCAGTAGCAGTAGCAGCGCAGCAGCCGCAGTGCAAGCAGTGGTAGTGGTAGTTGTGGCAGTAGTAGTAGTAGTAGTAGTAGTAGCAGCAGCAGCAGCAGTAGTAGTAGTAGTAGTAGCAGTAGTAGTAGTAGTAGTAGTAGTAGTAGTGTTACCGTCAGTACCAGTACTATGGTTTATCGGTTTATCATTGTGCATATCCTTGGCCAGGAGGATGACGACCATCCCCGAGTACAATATGCGCCACATTCTCTGAAAGAACTAGTGGACGCCAGGAACGCAAAGTACCAAAAATAGCTGAGGGCCGAAGGCTCTAATATATATATATATAAAATATGATGGCAACTATTTCTTTTCTTTCCGACAGTTGAAATTCAAAGGAGGTCACAAGAACGCGGGTTTTGCTTGCACGTGGACGGTTGTCTGATCATATGCGTAAACGACTCTGCGAGGTCCCAGGTGTACTTGTATCAGTAATGAATGTACTCATCATCGAGCCAAATATGATGCTCAAGATAACACAAGATGACCCTCATGTAATCGCGAAGCATCAGTGGTCGGCTTCAGAGTAGGCAAGGAAGGACAACCCGGTAATTCCTTACTGGTGCAGGTTAATTCATGCCGCTGTGGCCACTCCTGCTCACCTCGTCTGGTGAGTGGATTTTGGCCCTTCTGGTGTGGAAGTTAATGAAACACGTCTCTTGGACTTTTGAATGTCAAGCCTTGATACAGAAGGTGTCTAGAGCTCGCCTTGGCACTAAGATGTCATGCACGATTCTTGGGACTATAATGCTTTAGGTCCCGGTTGGTCAAAGCTTCACCTTCGCAAGAAGAACAAAAGGATGTCGTTGCAGCCTTGGGCGAGAAGGGTATCGCTTCCTAGGTCGTTTCTTTGGGATATTGCCTGTTGTCCGCGCATCTCCCAGAAGGCTGCAGTCATGTGGACTTCCAGGAACGAGGCCTCATCTTTTTACCACCGAACCTTTTCCTTGAGCCTCTAATTACACTCTTTGACCATTACTAGTCTTATGGCTGTTACTTTACTTTGGACGATTGCAGCGAAATGCCATGGCAAGCTGCGGCTCATCTTTCATGCTGTTCATGGCTGTTCCATTAGAATGGCTGTTCCGTGCGCTCTGCCAACGGCCTTCGCCTTCATCTCTCTGCGGGAAGGTGACTGCACCCGACATTTTACTCATCCGTTGCTTCGCTTCTTGTGGCAGAATGTCTTACGCGGCAATCCTAAATGGGTAACCGCAAATCCGACTTGTGAGGTCTGGCTTGCATCCTTCAGACATGTCTCGTGTTTCATGGAGACAGAGGCCATGTCTCAGATCTCATGCCTCATCGCCGACTCGTTGAAGCCTGGCACTTTGCGTGGCATGTCCATGCATGTCCGCTGGGAGCTCTGACACAAAAAACCCGAAATGCCACATGGTATGCGTACTCAGGCGTACAACTGTGCCATTCATCTATGCCCCGAGTGCCCCAGGTCGCCCTCTTGGCAGGGACGTTGGCGGCCTCTCTGGCCGGGAGCTTCATGGCGCTTCGGCAGTAGACGGTTGTTGTGTAGGTTTCAAACAAAATTGAGTCGGATCGGGGATGTTATGGGTTTCTAGCGCTTCCAGCCTTAGGGCATCCTGCTCTTGAACTTGAATTATATGATATAAAGCTTGAGCCACAATGTGAAAGTTGGATGTGCGATTCGGATTGATCGCTTGGCTTCGAACCGGCCGGATCATCGAGCTAGTGGACTTGAAGTTGGGCACGCTTAGTTGCAGAGGTTTCAAAGCCACCAAGGTGATTTTCGAGCAATGCTCGGATTCATTGCTCTACATCTTCCGCTGGAACAAGGCCATTTTCATTGAAGCTCTCTGTCGGTCGTTAGGTGACCCAGCTTCCGCTTGAGTACCATGCAAATGCTTGAGCAGAACCGCATCACCGACATTGGGCAGACAAGGTTCTGACGCCCCAAGAGTCCGAAAGTGCTCGGATAAATAAGTAGAAGCTTCCTGCCTTTCACGGAGAGCAGGCGCACGGTCACAACACCGTCGCCAAGTACTGTCCTGATGAGTTGGCGAAGCTCATGGAGTACAAGAAGCCCGGACGAGCAATTCAGTGCTGTTGGAGTCAGGAGCCGGAGCCCCCAAAGCACAACATACAGCGACGATCAAAGACGAAAAACACCAAGGACAAGGTGAACATGAACGGGCGAGGTTTCAGGAATGTGTTGGAGGCTTTGAGCCTTTTCAGGATGGGGTGACAGAACATCCAGTAATCGAGGGCTGGCTGTCACTCCTGCGGTAGACAAATAGGACATAAACAAGCGTACCGGTCAGTGGCATTTAAAGCTGGGTTTCGATGGTATAATGGATATAACTTTATGAACCGTAGAAATTCCACAAACCAGGAAGGTCTTTGCGGGCGATGGAATGCGCAATCGACCGGAGCCTCCCGGTATCTTCTCGACGCTGCTGTCCTCTAGCGCCTGAGGCCTCAGCTTTGCCTTCATCTACTGCCAGCACTAATCTTCCTAGAAGCAGGGTTTAGGGTTGCTGGGTTAGTAAGATTGCAGGAATGCACAGTCCTGTTCGCAATGCAAGGCGACTCGAGCGCAAAGTCTGGTAGAAGTCAGGCCATGTTTCGGGGGCCCACAGATCTGGGAACCCTGTTGTGTCTACTATACGGGCTTCAATGATTCTAACGCCTAACGCCCCTTATATATACAGGACTATATAATTGAATTACAAGGGAGCCCAAAGCCCTAGTGTGATCATTTAGTAACCTGTTTGGCTAGAAGCTGTCCCGGATTTGCCCATGCCAGCTGAGCTCCCGGGAGGCCTTCGAACTTTGTCAAGTCGACTCGTGATTTGATGGGTGAGGCATGTATTCTACTGCCTTCTCTCGTGGCCTTGAAAACCAAAGTAGTAAGGATTTCCCGAGCTTCAGTTTTCGATGTAGCCTCCGGGTGTGATCGGCTCTCACATGGACAGGGATTTCTTTGCAGATGCTGACATTTTCATCAAAGTGCGAGGGAGGCCCGAGTGTCAGAGTCTGCGTCGGTTTCGGACGCCAGGCAAAATGCCTTGTTCCTCTTTTTGTCGGAGCCCAGCTCGATAGCCGAACTACACGATGCCGTGGCTAGACGACCCCTGCGAAGCTCATGGATTCGAAAGAGATCCATAGGATGCGCATAGCATGGCATGAACCTGAAGGTTCGTGCCTGCACGTGGCGGGGCTGGTGTGCGTTTCGTGTCCATTAACACCCGCCTCGTAGTGCGTTCCACTTTTGACGACCATATAAAGTTCAAGCTGGTATTTAAGGAACTTGGGTCATGCCTTGCACACCAAGCCACCAGCCTTGCCAGCCTTGCCCCACCCCATCCCTCAACCATATCAACCGCCTCAACCCTAAACGCCTGCTCCTTCGGGCCGAAGTGCTCGACGCCGGCTTTGCGAAGCAAACAGGGGGGCTCTTTGCCAGCAAGGGCATACCTGGCTCAGGCCGGCTGCATAATGCTGCTGGAACCCAAGTCTTGCCTTTGTGCCTGCCCTGCTTCACTGAGGTACGACTCTTCGGCCAACTTCTCCGCACAGAAATATCCGTGTCCGCTGTCCGATGAGTCATTTGGCCGCAGTGGCACTCGGACATGACTCGGACCTTTCGCCCATCGTGGTTTGATTCAGTACGTCTTCAGAGGATTCGAGGGGGGTGAATGTTGTGGCCTGCCTCTGGGCGGACTGGATGCAAAGCTGTTGATGCCAACTAGGCTCTGCACGCAAAGCCTGATTTAAATTCCGAGAGAGCGACATCGAGCAGGTATTCTGCAAGGCGAGAGACTGAGAGCTCAGATACCCTAAACCACGGGCGGGGTAAATGCCCGGGGGGCCTGACACGCCCCTTAAGCCTGGGGAAGTGCCGGACAGGAGTGAGTGTTTTTTCAAGCAGGGAGCCGAAGCGTCCCGTCTTTGCTGCGGAGGAGGTCAACGCACGACCCTCCATTAGCAACACACCGCATTTATTGTGGTTGGGAGCGAGGGAGGGCGGAGGAAAAAGGAGGGAGGGTGAGAGGCGGGGAAGGGCGAAGCGATTGGTTGGCTCGAATGTACAGCCGCAAGAGCAACTTCAGCGCCAGCATCAGTACACTATTGTGTTGAGACTTCCTGTGAAACGAGCAAACAGGTGGTGCTTCTGGGCATCGGATGGTCGACAGATTACCTGTCCTGGACCTGATGAAGCGCCCTTGCTGGCACATCCACAGGTTCATTCTCAGCGGGAGGTTGTGTATGGGGTTGCAGTGTCAGAGTGCCCGTTCTGAGTTTTACAGGTGTCTCCAAAGTTGTTTCTAGATTCGACGAGAAGCCAGGGGTTCAGAGCTTTGGGAAGTAATTAGATCGACGGCATCAGCCTTTCGATCTGTCTTTCCAGTTGCCTGCCGTCTTGACGGAACCATGTCGCGATTTAGCACGGCAGATTGACGGATCCAGCAGCAACGAGACTGCGAGAGACTTATGTTGATGCAATCGGAGATCCATGTCAGTAGCTTGAAATCACGCCTTCAGTACTAGGTTACTAGGTACGACTGGTAGAGGACATTCACGATACACTGCCATGGACCTGCAGTGCTTCGCATCACTTCGTACTCCCAGCTGGCTAAGGATGGCGAGAAGAAGAGCCCCACAAACTTCGAGAGATGTTTGCCGGAAGGCCAGAAGTTTCGACTGATGCAGAACAAGGTGCGCAACCAGCTCTCCTTGATCTTCAAAGCACCCCAACTTCGCCGGCTGGAAAGAGCCATCCGCTGCCGAAATCGTCTCGTTCTGCAGTCCTTGATGGAGGAGCTCTCTGGAGTCCCTGAGGGCTTGAGAGCTGCGGCACAGAAGCTTCTCTCCGGCTTCCGACCAGATCCCAGCGAGCTCCCAAAAGCTCCGGAGCTCAAAGCGATGCCTATGGCCCCCAAGGCACCGGCAGAGGCAGAAAGCGGCTTGCCTTTGAAGGCAAGCCCACCACCCAAGGCTATGCCTCAGCCCAAGTTCAAGGCAAAAGGGCCAGCGCCGGTGAAGCCGAAGGCGCAGGACGGCACGCGAAACCCATGTCTCGTAGATTCAATGATCTGATGCCGTTTAGACCATCTACGACCAAGGCAGAATTGCTACCAGGGCCCGGACCCGGAGCAGCCGTTTCGTATGAAGTTGCCCCTCCAGGAGCCTTCAACAGGAGGTGCAGATGCCTCTCCCACTGTGGCTTCGCCAACAGAGCCTGTGGCCAAGGCCTTGGAATATATACAAGTTGTATTACTGTATTACTTTGCATCTTGAGGAGGAGGGTTGTTGATCCAGAATCCAGAGGCCAGGGGTGACGACGTGACAGTATGTAGAGGCCAACCGCTGGAAGGAGAAGATAACTATTACACGTGTATGATTGTATGTGTATGTATGTGAACACACACACACATATATATATATGTATTCATGCAGTTTGACTACATATATGTATAATATTCAAATATACATACTTTTTATTGCATAAATCAATAAATAAATAAAGAAAGAAATAAATAAAAACATATATATATATATACAATTATCTAATTGTCTATATTTCTATATGTTTATATATATATATAACATATAAAAGGTAAGCATTTGGATATATGCGCATACATACATGCACATATGTTTGTGTCTTTGGTTTCTTTCAGTTCTCGCCAGGCCGCCCCAGTTTTGGAGGACTTCGCTACCAGCGCAGCGGCCCCCGGGACTGACGAGGTCCCGCGGGCCGTGATTTTGTAAGGCGAGTTTAGGGCTATGAACATTATCATCGTTATCAGTAGTATGATTCTATGATTATTACGGTTATCAGTCTTTTATTCTTATTCTCATTGTTGGAGGAAGTCGGGGCTAAAACCTACATAAAACCTACACCGACTGGAAAAAATGCATCTTTTTGGTAGAGGGGAGGGGCTTCGAACTTTGCCTGTGTTTGAAGAGTTCAGGGCTAAAGTCCGAACTTAGCCTCGAGCTTGATGCATCTTGAGGATAATCTTGAGCGGCGGGGAGGATGCTGCAAGAAGTACCAGCGGCATCATATGGAGAATTTGTAGTTCAGGGTTTGGGGTCGTGGTCGTCATGATCGTCTTCATTTTTGGGAGAGATGGCCCAGCCACTGACAGTAAGAAGAATAGCAGTGGTAAGCACGCTGCGACCACTTGTTGTGTGTGTGTGTGTGATGATTGCAAATTTGGTGATGGTCAGGATGTCACTGTTGAAGGCAGTATCAAGAATAGGAAGACGTCCTCAGCCACAGAGACCTGCTGCGCTTTGAGTAACGAAAGCTTCGACAGCCTCAGCCAAGATGACCCTGACACGTTCGGCAAAAGCTACGTACTGTACCTTAACCTACTGGAGACTGCTATCCTGAATCCCTGAAGCAACCTGAAAGCCGCCAATCGTTAGAGCTTCGATTTTCTGAGGCGGCGCCGTGGAAGAAGCGAAAGCGGGGCGACCGTTCCACACCTGGCTCTGCTCCAACAGGCGGGCCCACAAGCTTCAAAATTGTCTTTCGCTAGGTGCTGGTAACCTGGTGGGACTCAGGGCTTATAAGCCGCTAGGAACTTGGATCTCGGGCGTTGCACGACTGGCCAGTCAATGCAGTTCATCGCGCGCAGCGTGATATGCATCCCGCCCCATGACATTCCTCGCGTAGCTTGGTGATGCTTGGTGCTGGTGGGCTCGTGCCCCTGAAAGGTCCAGCCGAGCCTGCAAGCGCCGAGGCTCGCCGGTCGAAAAGGGGCATACGCTTTCTCTCTTATGACTCGTACAAGCCCTTGCGGCGGATCTGACGCGGGCCAGAGCCCGAATCAATGCAGACGGGCTCTTGGTTTGTGTTTCGTGCGGTTTGTTGAGCCGTGTCTCACAGACATCACATGGGAGCCGGCTAAGCCTCAAGAGACTTACTCTTCAGGTGCGGAGTGCGCCCAAGAGTGCGAAGGACCTGTCCAGGAAGGCTGCTTGGCTTGGAGTTTTTGCCGTAAGAATTCGTACCTCGAGCTTCGCCACCGGTGCCGAGCATGGCCAATGTTGCTTACTTTGCCACTTCCACTGCATGCTGCAGCTCCTGCTCAAGCTCCATCTCCTGTTATTGCGAGGACGACGACTTCTATTGTCAGTACAACAGCTACTACTGGTACTATTGCTACTAGTAGTACTAGTAGTAGTCGTCGTCGTCGTAGTAGTAGCAGTAGCAGTAGCAGCAGCAGCGGGAGTAGAAGTAGAAATAGAAGTAGAAGTAGAAGAAGAAGAAGAAGTAGTAGTAGTAGTAGTAGTAGAAGTAGTAGTAGTAGTAGTAGTAGTAGTAGTAGTGGTAGTGGTAGTGGTAGTGGTAGTGGTAGTGGGTGGTAGTGGTAGTGGTAGTGGTAGTGGTAGTGGTAGTGGTAGTAGTAGTAATAATAATAGTAGTAGTCGTCGTAGTAGTAGTAGAAGTAGTAGCAGTAGCAGTAGCAGTAGCGGTAGCGGTAGCAGTAGCAGTAGCAGTAGCAGTAGCAGTGGTAGTAGTCGTAGTAGTAGTAGTAGTAGTAGTAGTAGCACTAGGAGTAGCAGTAGCAGTAGCAGTAGTAGTAGTCGTAGTAGTAGTAGTAGTAGTAGTAGTAGTAGTAATAGTA